GTGCTGCTTCCCCTCTCACAAGAGTCACCTAAGAAGGGAATTTCCCCCATTTTCAAAAATGAAATTCAGGCCCTGAATAAATGTCTAAAAATCCTGATTGAAGTATCACTATAAATAGTTATAAATTATAAAAAGAAGGCTTTAAAAAGATCGGTATCGGTGATCGGTATCGGCAGATACTGCTTTCTGTGATCAGCGATCGGCCTCAAAAATCCTGATCGGAGCACCCCTAGTTTTTAGTAACACTGTAAATGTCTTTACTGTCGGTTTTTGGTAAACATTTTAAAACAGAAATTTTAGAGTAATTTTTAAATTGTAATAATATTTCATAAAATTTGATCAAATAAATGCAGCCTGGGTGAGCATAAGAGACTTCTTTTATATATATATATATATATAGCTGTTAGACTTATGAATTCCTTTCAGTCTGCAATTTTTTATAGACTTTTTTATTGCTTTGATCATAAAAAACACCAGCAGAATGTTTACAGATGTGTCAAATCTGTTTCCAAAGTAAAATCCAAAGTAATATTCGGTGGAAAAAAATATAATGTACACAAAGGCAAATGAGAATGGACATATCTGGGTAGAGTTTGCAGCTGCATTATCTTATCAAGCCATTGCACATGGAAACGATCACTAACATGAAAATCTGTACAGAAGTGGGGAAGTAGATTAACATAGAGGTGATGTGATACACATATGGACTGAATAACCTAATTTGACATATTTAAAACAAATTTGATTTTATATAACGCGTCATCTTGGTCCATTTGGGTCCTGGCCAGCTGAAACGCACAGAACCGCTTGACAGATGTGAAATCCTTTGAGGACCACATTTGCGAGTGTTTGTTTTATGCAGAGGGTGACTGACAACTAAAGACATGTTTCTGACAGAACACTGTCCACCAGATTTACACGCACACCAAACGGCGCATGGTTCATGATAGTGTGGATAGATTGCGACAGGCAACAAAAGCAGCAGAGCAATGCAGCCAAACAAAGAAAAAAACTCCAGCCGATGTTATTTGCAGCTCGAACCCCCCCCCAGTGCATTTGTTTGATACATCATATATAAGTAAGAAAAGACCCTGTGTCTGTTGCATAACCAGGAATCATGCAAAATATAACAAAAGCTGTAGTCCAATTTGTAAAATCCATTTCAGTTTGTAAATTATCCTCTTCTAATAGGTCTATGTTCTGGTCTTCTGTACCATGTCTTGTTAATGTACCGAAACCACAAAGAAACCAAAGCAGACCACATCATTTAATGGAAAGACTAGGAGAGTTTAATGAAATGGGATTGCGAGCTACGACTTGTTACCGCAAACTTCAAACAGCATCCATAACTGCAGCCAGAACCAGAGAGAATAAAACACAGAGCCATCTGTCTGGGCCCCTTTGACAACACTAGTTAGAGACACACACACACACACACACACACACACACAGTAATCAAAGCACCCAGTGCATTTCACATACCTCAAGGTGCATTGACCTTCTAAACATGCACTTACTTGCACACGCAAAGGTGAAGTCGCAAAGCAACACAAACACAAATGTGGACACTAACAACATCACCAAACAAACTCCCCAGTACCTGAGGGGCTTCGTACGTTAATGATTTATTTACACATTTTAAATATTGATCAGGTGGGGGGAAAGCAAATGTGCAATTGAACGGCAGGAGGTTCTGTTCACTCTGAGATAAATGAGAAATGTGCCACGACATGAGGTTTTATCTCAGTGTGAGTCGAACTCGCACGCTTTAAAAGGCTGCTGATCGCAGGCCAAACGTGTTTTGCATTTTGAATGGGCACAAATAATGTATACAAGTTGTTGCTTTATTTCATGTAATTGCAATTGGTAAGAAAACCAACAAATGCGGCATGATCACATGCAGTGGTCAGTGGTTAGTAGCCTGCAGGCTGCAGCTGGTCATGCTTGTGGCATTCATCTATTTCTCAGCGTTGGTCTGTGTTTTATTTATTTAGTTTTACAGAGACTGGTGGGTCGATCACAAGCCCACAGCTAGGAAAACTAGTAGGCTACATGCAAACAATGAAATCCCACTAGCAATATAATTATGTGTTGTTAGGATAGCAAAGTAAAAGGGATGATGCTTCCCAAACACTTTCCTTAAATCTTTCCCAGGACATGAATAGCCTGCTAGTTGCACTAATTATTGATAATGAATATTAGGCATGATTATTATGCGTGACAGGACTTTTTACTGAAGTCAAAATTGAACAACTCTACAAAAACAAATCATTCCATAATGGTAGGGATCATTTTCACCACTCACGAATGAACCATACTCACATACGAATTTCCATGGGAATCAACATAATCATGAATTTTGCGTGTGGGCAAAAGATATCCAAATGCAGATTTTGCATCGGTTCAGTTGATCATGCAACTTTGTCATGTTGACCAGCAAAATAAGCTTGGTTTGAAAGTAGAGTGGGTATTTTCAAATCATTATGGAAACCAAGATTAACACTCGTGTGGTGAATTGTGGGATTAATAGCACCGAAAAACTCAACTATATGCAAATAAGGAGTGTAAAACCTGGAGCAGCAGTATATCGCTGTGTCAGGTAGTGACGTGTGTTTTGACTATTTGAAAAGATGCAGTTTGTGTTGTAGTTTCTGCTTAATTTAGTGAGTAAATCATATTGTTTACACATTGGATGCATTACATTGCAGTTGTTATGTGTACGTTAAATATTGCAGTTTGGATGCTTTAATTGTGAATAGACTGTTTGTGTTTACAAGAGTCTTTAAACTGACACTGAATCTGTACAACAAAGCCAATGTAATCATCACACTTACATGCGATTACAGCTGGAAAGATAGCCAACTGTAATCTTGTGTAAATGTGATGATTACATTGAAATAAGCATAGCTGCATTGAGCGGGGTTTTCCCGCAGCACTAGTGCTGATCTCCAGTCAGCCAGTTATGAGGTCTCTGGACAATAAAAAGTGGGCGTCTTCAAACTGGTGGGTGTTTCTAAATCATATAATGAAAATTATGCCTCTTA